TGGGGGAGGGGAGAGTTCCTGTCTTATATCACTCACCCCCAGCACATCTAAGTTAACGTCTTATATTTGTGGTTTCAAGTGGCGGAAATCCTGATTAAATCGGCGTGGAGTAGAGAAGAAATTATCTGCTGCCATAGTCACAATGTAGCTGGCCCCAGGGATGACTAGACCCAGGGACTCAGATGCCGCAGGCCCCTGTCTCGGGGTCCGTCTGTGCTGTGCTCTGTCTCTGGCTTCATCCTCGCTACTGCAGACGGTGCTGCTAGAGGTGCTGCTAGAGGCTCCCTGATTCACTCTCCCAGCTTCACCTCCAGAGAGAGAACGAAGATCTCTTCCCTTGGGTTCAATTAGGAAAAGCTCGCTGGGAGTCTCTGATTAATCTAGCTGGGGCTGTGTCCACACTGGGGCCGAGGGCATGGGCCCCTACTAGAGCTCCATGACTGGTTTTGGGGACAGTTCTCCCACAGAAGGAATGGGCTCGAAAGAAGGGAGGGGTGCCAGGCAGATAAAAGATGTTCACTGTGGTTGAAAGAGGCAGGGGTTTGGACAGAAAGATCAGGGGTCACTCTTCCTAGTCTGTGGTGTCAGGGAGGGGCTTTGTCAAGGCCCGTGAGGGGTACCCACAGCTGCCTGTGGGGGTTATCTCCTCAGAGGCGGTCTTGTTCTAGGTCTCATCCTCTCCCCCTCTGCCAAAGGTAAACCTGCCAAAGGTAAGCACGTATGCCTGGTCCCCTGCACGCTGACCCCATTCTTACACCTGATCATCTATCCCATTTCCTGTCCACCTGTTCACTAGCCCACTGGGCTAGGTGCTGACCCCGCACTTGGCTTTGGCTAGCCTCTGCCCATGAGAGTGGACCCAGGCTCTGTGTGTACCTGCCTAGGGGTTCAGTGGGCCATCCGGGTCAGTCTACATGCTGAACTCGGGGCATCTTATGACCTGGGAATAACTTCACCAGATGCATCTGGAATCAGGATCAACCCAGATGGGAAAAGTCTCCCCAGAACCCAGTAAGTGTTGAGATTTAGACACCTTCTCTCTTTCCACCTGCTCTCCTCCTGCAGTATTTGGCTTTGTTCCTTGCCAGCTTCCCCTTCTCCTTGGCCCCAAGGAAGTTCCTAGACGCTCAGTAGAGGTTAAACACATAGACTTTGGAGTCAAACCAACCTGAGTTTGAGGCCTGGCTCTGTCACTCATTGCGGTGAAATAACAGTTGCAAAGACAGTACAGAAATTTCCTGTATACCCCTCCCCCAGCTTCCCCTAATACTAGCATCTTACATGACCATGGTCCATGTATCAAAACTAAGAAATCAACATTGGTACTGTACCATTAGCTCAATGGAAGACTTTATTCACATTTCCCCAGTTTTTCTGCTAACGTTCCCAGTTTTTGTTCCAGGATCCAGTCCAGCGTTTCTCATCTGCCCTGGACAAATTAATCTCTCTCTCTCTAGGCTTCTGGAGGTGATCTACCTAAAGCATTATCATCATTTGTATTAAACTATCACGGTCACATCTGATTGAGTAACATTTCTTGGCATGAGGTCCATGCCAAAGAGCCTAAGCCTGCTTATGACCATCTTCCCCACCGGTCTGGCTTCCAGGAAATTTCAGATGCCTCCTACCACCACCAATCCTGAGACGTATCCATCCCTCAAACATTGCGTATCGATGGCCATTAAAGCAGCAGCCGCAATGCTCCAGCAACTCAGCTACTGGTTGAAATGTGTGTATGTGTGTGCGCGAGCACACGTGTGCATATGAGTGATGAGTGAGTGAATGAACTGAAAGTATAAAAGAGTGAATTAACTGGTAAGCCAGTGACCGCATCAGTGACTTAATGAGCCAGCGAGAGAGTGAAGTGTGTAAAATTGACTAGGTCATGCTCCCTACCCCCTCAAGTAATCCGTTAAGCGGTGGCATACATTTCTCATCGTTGTTAACACAAGCAGGGGTTAAGAACTGCACAGGAATAGTTACAGACCACCAGCTGGATACTGTGTTCATTTCTTATTGCTGCTTTCACAAATGACTGCAAATGTAGTGGCTTAAAGCAACACAGATTAATTATCTGACAGTTCTGAAGGCCAGAAGTCCAAAATGGGTGTCACTGCGCCAAGGTCAAGGTGTCTGTGGGGCTGCACTCTCTCTGGTGGCTCTAGGGGTGAATCCGTTGGCTTGTCTTTCCCGGCTTCTAGTGGTTACCTTCCTTTCTCGGCCTGTGGTCTCTTTCTGTATCTTCAAAGCCAACCGTGTCGCATCTTCAAATCTCTCTCTGACTCTGACCCTCTGCATCTGTCATCATATCTCCATCTCTAACTCTGAAACTCCTGCCTTTCTCTGATATGGACCCATGTGATTACATCAGCCCCACTCGGACAGTCCAGGATAATCTTCCCAACCCCCAATCTTTAACATAATCATATCTGCGAAGTTCCTTTTGCCACGTAAGGTAACATATTCATGGGCTTTGGGGCCTAGGATGTGGACATCTTCATGGAGCCATTATTCTACCTGCCACAGATGCGTTGCTCCGAGGGCAAGTGCAGCACTGATTCCCACTCTAAAGGAGAAAGGGCAGCAGGGGGATGGAGAGAGAGCATCACGGCATTTATCACGTGCCCCTGCCACGTACTTCTTCTCCTCATGTTGTTGCTGTTATGGCCTGGGATTTAAAAAATTTCCCCAGATTTGATGCTTGCACCCAAACTTGAGAAACACTGTGATAGATGATATGCCAGGAGCCTATGTTGCTACAATTGAGGGTAAAATTTGTCCTAGGATTTCTGGAGAAGGATTAAGAGTGGGGTGCCTCAACCCTGGGTGCACATTCCCATCAGCTGGGGAGATTAAAAAAAACTTATTTTGAAATGAGCATGGAATTGCAAAGACAGTACAGAAAATTCCTGTATACCCCTCCCCCAGCTTCCCCTAATATTAGCATCTTACATGACCATGATCCATGTAGCAAAACTAAGAAACCACACTGGTACATTAATATTGGCTCAATGGAAGACTTTATCGCATCTCCCCAGGTTTCCCACTAGGGCCCCTTTTTGCTCCAGGATCCAGTCCAGCATTTCTCTTGCATGGGGGCATCATGTCTACAGAGTCTCCTCCAGTCTGTCGGCTTCTCAGGCTTTCCTTGTTTTCTCAAGACCTTGAGACTTTTGTACTGGTCAAGTATTTTGTAGACTGACCTTTAATTTGGGTTGGTCTAATATTTTCTCACGATTAGACCAGGGTTATGGATTTGGGGGAAGAATACCACTGGGTGAGACGCTCTTATTATCGCATCATCGAAGGCGGTGTGTGATATCAGCAGGGCCTATTACTGATAGTCTTTGCTTTGATCCCTTGGTTACAGTGGTATCTGCCCCCTTCCTCCACTATAATGATGTCGCTTGTCCAGTTGGTGTTATCGCTGCCGAGAAAGAGGCTCTCACCACCTCCGAGGTGTGTGTGGGGGGTCCATCCCAACCTGCCTAAACAGTGTTTTCCAAATCCACCCATGGACTGTGACCCATTTGCAGGTCATAAGCTCAGACCGTGGGGTGCATTTTAAAGAAAAAAATAAAGTAGAGGAGACTATAACAGCATAGAATGGAGAAGAAAAGAGTACGTCACACACATAGTAGGTATAGTTTCGTAAAACTTCGGTTTCTGAAAACTTTATGTGCTCAGAGACCTTATCTTTACAATGGGGATAAAAGTAGCATGCCCCGACTCGCGCCCCACACACAGGGTTGTCACGAAGATTAGATGAGCTGATATGGGTGAAGTGCTTAGAGAAGAGGCACACATAAGGCATTGTATAAATTATTATTATGAAGTGTGCATGTGTATAAATGGGTCACGGTGTAAAATACATTTCTTATTGTAGACTGCAATCCAAAAGTTTGCAAATACTGAACTCACATCTCTAGACTGGGGTGGGCAGGCTTACGAGCCCCAACCCAACGCCTGTGTTTGTGAAGTTTTACTGGTGCACAGCCACTCGTTCGTTTACGTGTTGTCTTTTGAGCTACGATGGCAGAGCCGAGAAATTGCAACAGAAAATGCACGGCCCACAAAGCCTGCACTATTTACTACCTGGACCTCCAGAGCAGCACCCCTGCCTGCGGGTCATCTCATGGTACAAAGGACATTAGACACTTCTTCCTAAGCCACGTGGCCTTGTCCTGCCACCGCCCGGCAGGCACACTGGCCCCTGCAGGCCCCTCTGGGCTGTGTGACTGCCCAGCACTGAGGCCTCCAGAAGCTCGATACCCTTCTACTTTGGATGGATGCCCACACTTGCTTTATCTATCCACCTCCGCTGTTCACGCTGTTCACGCTGTTCACGCTGGAAGGTTAGAAACACAGCACACTGGTCAGGGGCCCAGCAGGAAACAGATGGCCACTCAAATTAGAATAATTTGAGGAGTGTTTAACAAAGAGGCTATTTACAAAGGGATGGGCAAGGTGTTGGAAAGCCACAAGGGAGAGCTGAATCCTCAGAGGCTAGTAAAGGTGGAGCTCTTACCACCCTCAGCAGGGGGGACAAGGAGAGGGAACCTGGAAGGAGAGTCATTTCGAGAGGATGCCTTAAGAGGAGATGGGGCTTTCAGTCTGGGGCTGGGGAGCCAGTTCCAGGCAATCCCACGGGGAGGGAGCCAGAGAGTAACTGCCTTGACCTCACCTCCCTCCCTCCCTCCCTGATGTCCTGCTGGGGTCCCCATTGGTCAAACTGAAGTGGAAGCTGGAGGGCATAGGAGCCACTGATGTGGTCCATATGGGTCCGCTTCCCAGGACAGGGAGCGTGCTGGGGAAGGATGGAAAGGAGCAAACCTCAGATGCCAGCGCACACAGCATCGATTTAGAAAGTCTGGTGTATTTACTTCTCCCGCAGCTCCACTAGACAAAGGGTCGCCCTGCTTCACCCCGCCAAGTCGGGAATGTGGCCCCAACACCGAAGGACTGTCATAGGTTTCACCTTAACTGTCTTCTGTTCCTAGATCTGCTAGGCTCCGGGTGGCTGTCGTGGAGCTAATGTTCCTGGACCGTATCATCCTGAGAGGGGCAGAAGGTTGGGCACAGAGGAGCTGCTGGGTGTTTTGTGAGTCTGAGCTGAAGCTGATTATCACGTCTGGATGTTACGCAAGTTCTTCCTCACAACCCGGCCTTCTAGCTCAGGAAGGAGCTGTGTCTCATTCATCTTGGCAGCCCAGCTCAAGTCCAACAGACAGACGAGCCAACCTTTGGCCACCGTGGGACAAAGAACCCGAGCGGCAAAAAGCTCCCTAGGCTGAGAAGTGTCCCCAGATTAAACTGTTCCCACTGGCCAGACCTCTCTGCCCCCACCGCTGGCCCGGACTCCCTGAGCTGGCATCTGGTATCTCACGGGCTCCCCAGTCCGGCCACAGAGCTACAGCATGTCACCGGGAGGGTCTTTCCTGGCCCGTGGAACACTGACTCCACATCACTGATTTCATAGACGAAACATCATAGGCTTACAGGAAGGAAGGGACTGGCTTGGGTAAGCCCAGCCGCCTCGTGGCGAGCTGGGACTAGAATTCAGGATTGGAGACTCTAGTCAATATCCATCTTTCTTTTATGTAAGATGGAAGGTGAAATCGGTTGTGGAGCCTTGGGAATGGCCTCGGCCAAAATTCAAAATGTGGTCTAGCCTCAGGCAAGTTTCAGTGTCAGGCTCAGCTCAGCTGCTGAGGTCACGCACCCCGACCCTAGGCCCCCCAGGCAGCTGTTCTGTACCGGTGGGATGAACAGAGGCTCCAGTCAGGCAAATCGGTTCAAATCCAGACCCAACCTGTTAGCGGCTGTTTTACCTTAAACAGGTTAATTTTATGTTAATGAGACTCAGTGTTCCAGTCCTGTAAACCTGGCTCTGTCATCAACCACTGAGTGGTATCAACTCCATGACCAGGAAAGCAAGTACTTCGCAATGTCCAAAGGTCAATAAATGATACTTTTCTTCTCTTTTCCCTCCAACTGGAAGACTGACGGAATATTTGCAACTTTTTTCTCAAAAAGCCAGAGGCCGACTAGTTTGAGTGTAGCTGCTAGAGCTCTGTGCTCTAGCCCCAAGAAACGGGGACCCCTGGGATAAAGGCAGGGGGGCCTCCTGATAGGCCAAGGATTCTGCCTCATTTTCATGGACTCAGGCGTAATTAGTAAAATCTTAAGGTTCTCCTCCCGTCTTCCCTAGCCTCCACCCCACCCCCAGTTTCCTCAGAGAAATGAAGAGTTCAGACGTATAGGCCAAGTGCTTGGGTTTTAAATTAGACGACTTTGTCCTGACAGGAACCGAGTCACAGCTGCCATACCTGATTATTTTTAGAGTTACTACTAAACTCTTTGTACAGGATGAGCTGCCACTGTTCAAGGCAAACAGAAAGACTTCACATTTTATCATGACAGCTCTGGAGCCATCCACCTCCTCGTGTTCATTATTTCCAACCTGTCTTTGGAAGGGATGAGGCGGCATCTTGACAATCGTACGGCGGGGGAAGGCAGACCCCGTGGCTTGTTACTACGTCCGAGGGATGGAAAGCTCCCCAACTGAGCAAAGCCCACTGCCTCCAGGAAACCAAGGAGAAACATTCCGGGGGTGCGGGTACCGCTCCAGAGCCTTCTCTGCATGAACCATTATCTTTCACGAGAAGCAAAATGTGACCACCAAGTAGCCAACCAGTAAGAGCGCGTGTGTGCAAATGCCACCAGCACTGGCCTGGAGTGGCCAGCTTGTGAGTGATGTCACAATCCCCTCTGACCCAACAATGCCGCCACCACTGAAAAGGCGGACCCCTGCCTGTAGCTCTTACAGAGAGAAACATTCACCACCGGCAGAGCACCTTCTAATTGCTCCTGGAGTGTGGCAGACAAAAGTCTCTGCCGTCTGAGTTACTAGATCCAGAAAATAAAATGACCTTATGAACATGGGAAGAGAAGTCCAGCTAAGGCCCAAGGCAAACGTCTCTTCTTACATCCACTTTTTGCTGGATTACAGAAACAAGTTCATGGAGCAGAAGCCAAACACCCACCTTGGCTTTAAAGAGTTCTCTAGAAAGTGTTCGGAAAAATGGAGGTCTATCTCAAAGCACGAAAAGGCCAAATATGAAGCCCTGGCTAAGCTCGACAAAGCCCGATACCAGGAAGAGATGATGAATTACCCTGGCAGGAAGAAGACGAAGAGAAAGCGGGACCCCCACGCACCCAGACGACCTCCATCGTCCTTCCTACTCTTCTGCCAAGACCACTACGCCCAGCTCAAGTGGGAGAATCCAAACTGGTCAGTAGTGCAGGTGGCAAAGGCCTCGGGGAAGATGTGGTCAGCAATGACAGCCTACGACAAGCAGCCCTATGAACAAAGGGCAGCTTTCCTGAGAGCTAAGTACCAAGAGGAACTGGGCATCTACCGTAATGCCAGGAAGAAGAGCCTCCAAAGGTCGGCTAAGAACCGGCGCAGAGGGCTCAAAGAAACTGTCAGACACAACTGATGGATCCAATTAGAAATAAAATGCTGTTCTCCGGTACTGCCTGTCCCTGGTCTCTTGTGTAGCGTTAGGGGGGCCACTGCTACCGCTTTGGGCAACAAGTGAGTGGCATGGTGGAGCTGAGATCAGGGTTTGGAAGCTGATCCCAGGAGGGGCTGGCTTTGGGACAAGAGTCTGAAGAGTGTGTGGTCCGTACTTACCGGGCTTGGCTTGGGCAGGCAGGGTGGGGTGGGAATCTCCAGGTGTAAAGAAGCTAGGAGTCCTGGGGGTGGGAGCATCCTGGTCCCAAGTGGTTCTCCAGGGTGGAGGACCCTACTCAGAGTGAAGTGAGCAAACGCCAGCCCTGCCACCCTCCTCACCAGGAGGGCAAAAGGCCTGGAGTCCAGGTCAGGCTCCCAATTCAGGCCCCAGCAGAGGCTGGGAAACGAGTTGAGGTGGGCCTTAGGGGACTCAGTGTCTCCAGGGATTCCAGAACTGGTCCTCCAGCGAGGCTTAGATACTATTAGTGGGTCAGGATGAGACTCCAGTGGTGGTCCCTAGTCTAGTCACTAGGATGAAGCATGGGGCTGATTTTACAAAAAGAGGCATCTGACTCTGCCCCAAGTACTATAACTTGGAGAGAACCCTTTTCTTGACATTTTGGTGAGCATCTCTCGGTCATTTTTCTGTGGACGTAAGCACAACACAGAGTGGACATTTGCTGCCTGTATGACCACCGCGGCATCCATTCCTTTTCTCCTGCTCACAGCACACCGGCTCCATCCTGACCAAGGCTGGATCAGATGGAATCCCCCTGGCTACAGTGATTGGCTCAGTGACGGTCATGTGACCCAAGTTGGTCCAATCAGAGTAGATCTCAGAACTTGCGTAAGGAATCCTAGGGGAGGATGCAGCCCTGGGGGCTGTTGGCAGCCATTTGCCTCATTCTCAGGCCAAAATGTTAGTCCCTTTGGCATCCTGGACTTTTCATTGAAGATAAGCCCACACGTTTTGGATTTTGTCTAAGATAGTTTGAGTTCGGTTTTCTGTCACTTAAAATGAGTCAAAACTTGTCATTTGATACAAATGGGATTGTTCCATCTACTATGACTGTATTTTTCAGGCAATAATACACTGTGGGCAACGTTTCATACCAATCTAGATTGATATGGAATATTCTGAAATGGCCCTTGACTTCTGATATCAAAGAGACTAGGCCCAAATGCAAAATTTTTTGGTCACCAGGTTCTGCATGCAAAAGACTTCCTTAATTCCAGCTCTAAACCCCTATTCCCTGAGGGATCTGCATCTCTGTAGCCTGCTGTTGTTTCAAATTTCACTTTTGGAACAAAAATAAAAATACGTAGTTTTGAATAGCCTTTTAGAACTGGGTCAGCCTTTAGGGGGTGAGAGGTAATAGAGTGGAGTGATTTAGAAATTCAGGGTCTGGAACCAAGGCCATTTACGAAGGGCTCCCACGCACCAGGCCCTGTGCTGGGTACCAGGAGGCCCAGTGCGGTCTACTGTTAGGTTCCTGCCCTGACGAGAGGGATGGACACGGGCATGAACCACAGCCCTACAAGGCCTGAGGAGAGTGTAGACTGCACAAAGAGCTGGGGGCGGGAGCGAGTACCACCTACCAAGGCAACTGCTAAAGTCTTCATGGAGGAAGCAGCTTTACGCTCCTCGGCAACCTTGTACTCATGCTGGCCGGATTCCTGTTCCCCCCTCTCCCATTCCCCACAGGTGCTGTTCCAACTTGTCTCTGCTTCCCCTCCAGCCCAACCTCCAATCTCTCAGGAGACACCCTCATTTCCTGCTTCATTGAGAATACAGAGATGATCAAATAAAGCACTTCTCAACGTGTCATCCACAGCCATCTTCCCTCCTGGTCTCACGCCTCACAGCCAGAACCCTCTCACTATCTTCTTCCCCACCAACCTCGGGCCCTTGCTCCTCCCGTAAAGATGCTGACCCTCCAGCCTGTAAGCTTGCTGTCCTGACACAAGTGGTTCTGATCACTGGCAGGACCTTGGGCAAGTAAGTTCTCGTTCCTCTGTCTCAGGTTTCTCATCTGTGCAAAGGGGATGATGCCGGCCCCTCAGGTTGTTTCAGTGATTAAATGATGTAACACACGCAAAAGCATTTGGCACAGTCCTTAGCACATAAAAGGTACTGTGGTTGACCCTCTAGGGCGGCTGTCCTATGATTTCCCCCTCCTGGTGTTCACACCCTGGTACGACCCCCCTCCCATTAAATGTGGGCAGAATCTGTGACTTCCCTTGTTTTTTTTCCTTTTTCGGCCGCGCCACGCGGCATGCGGGATCTTAGTTCCCCGACCAGGGGTCGAACCTGCGCCCCCTGTAGTGGAAGCATGGAGTCTTAACCACTGGATCGCCAGGGAAGTCCCCCTGTGACTTGCCTTTAACCAACAGAATAGGGCAGGGGAGATGGGACGTGATTTCCTCTGTGATTCCACCATGGTATATAAAACTCTATCTTGCTGGTGGATTTGCTCTATAGAGATTCTTCCTGCTGGCTTGATGAAGTAAGTGGCCAAGCTGGGAAAGCCCACGTGGCAAGGAACTGTGGGGAATCTCTAGGAATTGAAGGTGCCTCGGACCAACAGCCAGGAAAAAACCAAAGCTCTCAGTCCTACAAACACAAGAAACTGAGTGCTGCAGCGACCACGTGAGCGGGGGAGGGGAGCGCATCCTTCCCCAGCTGAGCCTCCACATGAGAACTCAGCCCTGGTTGACACCTCGACTGCGGCCTTGTGAGACCGCAAGTGGGGGACCCAGCTAAGCTGTTACCGGATCCGGACCCAGAGAAATGAGGAGATAGTGAACACGTGTTGTTTTACGCCAACAAGTTTGCGGTAATGGGCTACACAGCAATAGATAACCAATACAGTACTCAGTAAATGCCGGCTTCCTTGCCATCTTAAAATAAACCATCTTTAACTTTCTTTCTCCCTCCAGCCTCTACCCCACCTGTTTAATTTCTTTTCCTTTGCTACCAACATCTGGAAGGTGGCGGACGCCCCCCAGTGCTAATTAGATCCTGACTTGTACTCTGCAGTGGTTCCAGGGAGGCTGTCTTGTTTCCAGCCTGGCTCTTGGTGGGCAGCGGCTGTGTGTTACATGACAGTCCCCTCTGGGAAGAGGGCCCCCACACAGCTGGACCCCAGCCCTCATGCCACTCTTTTCTGGTTTCCTCTGTGATTAATTATGTGGATGTGGGTGGCTAAGTCAGAGTTTTGACAACAGTTTGCAGCGCCCCCGCTGAAAACTAACTCTATTAACAGTCCTTTATGAAAAAGCCGACAGGAGGTTGTGAATCTGCTGGCTTCTAATGACTGTAATGTAATGACAGTGAAGGGGGAAGGAGGGGAGGAGGAGAAGTAGGGGGAGCCTGGGTCTAAGATAATGGGCGAGAGGAAAAGCAGGCAGAAAACCTGGTGCGGTACCAGCATTCCACGCAGACCCACTCGGCTGGGCTCAGGGGCCCCTGCCCTGGGGAAGAAGGAGGCTGAGTCTTTGGGCCCATGGCTGTCTTAATGCCTGAATCACTCCACTCTGACCCTTCTCTCCCAGAGCCTTTTCCTGTGTTCATTTATTCAGCAAATATTCATGTCAATCTTAAGCCTGCAACGTACCAGAAACTGTTCTACTACCAGGGAGGCAGCGAGGCCCCTGATCTCTTATAAATAAACAAGTCAACAAATAAACACACCAGGTCATTTTTTGATAGTGTCAAGTGCTCTGAAGAAAATAAACCGGGCTAATGAGATAAACAATGACAAGTGGGGTTGAGGGCGCTTTAAATGGGTGGTCAGAGAAGATGACATTTGGGTTTTGATTTAAAGGACGAGAAGGAGCCAGGCCTGCCAAGGCCTTAGGGGAGAGTTGTTCAAGTAGAAGGACAGCAAGTGCAAAGATCCTGAGGCAGGAGTGAGCTTGGCATATTAGACAGAGGGAGGCTAGAATGACTGGAGGGGTGAGTGAGTGGCTGAGATGCAGTTGGAGAGGACAGGCCTTGGCAAGGAGTTTATTTTGAAACCTAAGGGCTATGGGAGCCAAAGAGGCTTTTCTGCAGGGGATCCATGTGCTTCCATTTCCACTTCTGGTTAATGGTCATTCTAGTGTCTTCAAAGACTACCAAGGCCAATAAGGGGATGCTAGCGCCTCCCAGGTCTGCAAGAGAAAGAGGCAAGGCTAGCGAATACCAAATCCATGACCTTCTTCCCTTTTGGAGGGGAGATAATCAGGAACCTCCACTCGGTCCTCCTGGGAGCAGCTGTAAGCTAAAAATCAAATGTGGAAGCTGTGAAACGTCTCTCCCTGTGATTTGTTTTCCCAGAGATGGGGGGGAAGGACAGGCACGGGTGGCAAAATATTCCAGGAGCACACTGCTTCCCAGGCCTCAGATTTCCATGTGGAGCAGCTCCCACTAGACCAGTGGTTCTCAACTTTGAGGCTGCATTAGAATCACCTCAGACCTTATTAAGATACAGAATGCTGGGCCCCACCCCTGGAGTTTGATTCAATTCTTCTGGGAGTTGGGCCTAATTTGCATCAGGATAATAATTTGCATTTCTAAAAGTTCCCAGGTGGTACTGATGCTGCTGGTCCCAGGACCACAGAGGAGCTCTTTCTCCTCGCGCAGCCCTGGCATTTACTCTGAAGAGGAGGCATCACTGATCTGCCTAGTGAACTGAGAGAGAGGAAGCGCTGGCCTGCTCTTCCCTCCCCCCCCCCCCCCCCCACCCCGGCCAATCCCAGGTGTGCCCAGGTCTGCTCTCCAACCAGTTCATCAGCAATAAAGGTGGAAGGTTCATTCTCATCTGTCTTTCTCTTTCATCTGCCAACTGATTCTGAACTTGACAAAGGAATATTTATTTGTCTGTTTGTTTATTGATTTGGGGGGCTTCCCTCAAATCCCAACGGAGAAGTCGATCCCAGTTGCAAACAATCGATTAGCATCTGGGCCACACAGCATCACTGGGATCTTAGAGTTGATTTCAGCCTCCACTAAAGCATGTTTGGGGACAAAAAGGTCCAGTTTCTGGGCCTATAAGAT